ACCTCCCGACGGCGAGGACGTGTGCGCTGCGTGCCTGCCCCCCCCTCCTCCAACGTCCATCTGCTTCTCCTCCTTTCCCCGCTGCCCTCTTGGCCCTGGCGCGGGGAGGGGAGAGGAGAGGAAGCGGCTCGGCCGTCCCCCGGCAGCTCCGTCTGCCGACAGCCCCGTTTCCTCCGCTGATGGAAGAACAAAGGGATGGCTGGCAGGCAGTCAAGTGGCTCTCGGTGGGCCAGCCTCGCTGCCTGCCAGCCCTGGAGTCCCTGCTCCGCCGCCGGGCGCGCTCGCGGTCCTTGGGACAGCACAGGTGCCTTCCCTCGGGCTCTGAGCCCCTCACTGAGGCGAGGGAGCGCTGTTTGGGCGTCCTTCCCCCCTCCCTCCATCGATGGCTATGACTCTCAACCCTCTTCTTCCTATCCCCAGAGCAGCGGGGGGTCGCTGGGGCTGGGGGTGAGCTCGGCCGTGCCTCGTGTCGCATCGCCTCGACTCTCGAGGGGGGCGAGCCCCCGCCTGCTGTGAGCTGTGGGGGTGGAGGGAGGCAGCGAAAGCAAAACTCGGCCCGCTGCATGCAGCGGAGGCCGGCGGTAACCCCCGCGCTGCACCTGCACACGTGAGAGCGGGATGAGTCAAGGTCTGCTCTGCGGAGCGGGGCCGGGGAGCTCGTCCGCCGACGGTGGCAGCGCGCACGGCTCCGTGCCCCGCGCCCCGCGGCTCTTGAATAAGTTCCCTCCCATCTGGAGCAGCCGAAACGACAGCCGTAAGGCAGAGCTCGGCGCGCGCTGCTCTCCGAAGGGAGCTGCAAGAGCGCGGGTAGGAGGCGAAGCCCAAAGTCACCCTGTTCTTTATTGCCAGGAGCTGCTTTGTGTTTAACGTCTCTTTCCGTGGCTTGCTGGCCGTCGGCGTTGTTAAACTTCGTTGAGTTGCTCGGTTTGGTTCAGCTCCTCGGCACGGGAAGGTCGGCTGGAGTCTCCCTCGCCCTGCACGTGCCCCGAAGGCCTTGCGAGCGCTTGGGCTGGTGGGAAAGCAGCTCAGCTGAGCGAGGTCTGAGCTGGTCACTGCTCCGGTGTCGCCCTGTCGAGCTCCGCTCTGTTTTGCCGGGGCTGCTGTATCAAGACCCTGTTGCTGGTCTGCTGTAGCAAGACCCGGCTGTGCCAGCTTCCTTGCAGCGGCGCGTTCACGGCGTCGAGGGGTGTGCTGCCCTCCAGGGAGCTGACCCAGCCCTCCTCCCTGAGCTCGGTTGGGGTCAGGGGCTGCCTTCATGCGTGGCGCTCCTGACCATCCCAGACCAGGATCCCCCCCCGACCTGGCCCTGTGTGGCCTGGGTCAGACGGCACCGCCACCCGGTCCCAGCAGGACCCACCTCCAGGCTGCTCTTGGGCACGTGCCCATCTCGGTTTGCACCATAGACACCTGTCTGCTCGGAGCCAGACCCGGGGCCAGCTCAACTATGGATCAGAGTCAACCATCAGCACCATACCTACCTTTAACAAGGGGGGGGGTGCACGTGTGTGCAAATCCAGATCAGCCCTGGGGTGAGTGTGAGCGACAAACCTGTGCTGCGTGTGTCAGTGAGGGAGCTAGCGCTATTGTGGCGAAGCACACCCGCCAAGAGCCGCTGCTCAGGATGGCGGTCCTGCTTGCACGAGGAAACCCCGCTCCTGGCAACGTCAAAGGCATCTGGGGCTCTCGGGGAGCCCTTCGCTACCCGGCCTTGTTGCAAGAGCTGGCGCAGAGAGCTCGGCCGAGGGCAAGCGTCTGGTGCACAGGAAGCCGGTTGTGAGAAAACAGCGAGAGCAAACCGTGGTTTGCGGGCGCGGCTGTAAGTCGGCGGGGGGGAGCGCCGGGTGCTCGTGCTGCAGCCGGGGTTGTGCCGGGTGCTGAGCAGGAGGGCTTCCTCCCCACCCCTGGGTGCTAGGCTGTGAAGCCTGCCACCGCTCTGGGATGGGTTGCAGGACACCAGCGGGACTGTGGTAATGCTCCCGGTGTTCATGCCTCTGCATCGGGGCTCGTGGCCTGTGAGCGGCTGGCTCATCCGGAGGACAGGCTGACCCAGGCGCGGGGCAGCATCCTGCGGCTCGCACCTCCTGCCCGGGATGCAGGCACGGCTCAGCTCGGGCTCTGGGAGCTGGGGTGCATGCCCCCCGGGGTGATAGGTGCATGCCTCCCGGGGGTGCATGCCCCTGCTGGACCCCGCTGTGGGCTCAGGTTCTCTGTCGCCGGTCGGGGCTCTTTTCTTGTGGCTCAGGCTGCCGGGGAGAGGTCAGTCGGTCAGCGGCTCTAACCCACCAGCCTCTTACTGGGCCGCAAGTCCCAGCCTGGCGGAGGTGGCGGCGGACACGGGGTTGCCAACAGGGCAGGCTGCAGTGAGAAGCAGTGGGAGGAGTGGTTTTCTCCTCCTCTCGAGCTGCTTCCCCAGCCTGGATTGGCAGTGCTGCGGTGTAAAAGAGGGAAGTGCCATCCACGCCCTGTGGCACAACCCTGTCCGCCTCCGCGCTGCCCGCTGCCCCGGGGTTCGTGGGTCCGAGGGGGTCGGGCTGGCTCTTGGAGCCCAGGCAGGGGAGGGATTGGAGCGGGGTGGTTGTGCCCGTTGCAGATGGCTCCGTCGTGGGTCGCGGCGTGCCGCAGCCTGTCGCTCCATCTGCAGCGAGCAGGGCGGGGGTGGTCGGCCCAGGCAGGTCGCAGAGCAGCCAGGCTTTGGCTGCGTGTGGTTTGAGGACGGGCTCGGGGAGGTGGCAGAGCCTTGCTGGGAGCATGGAGCTGACGGGCCTTTCTGTGCAGGCGGAGAGATGGGGAAGAGGAGACTTACCCCGGTGCAAATACATCCCATCTGTCTGCTCCTATCCCACTGGCACCGGGGCAGCTTCCCGCTGAGGGGAGCAGCATAAAGTTACCCTTCTTTGGCGTCACGTGATGGGGTACGAGCAGGCAGACAGACAGACAGACCGGTTCCAGCAGATCAGCTGGCAGGAGCCGCAGGCCACGTCCTGTTCCCCCGCCACAGTCTGTCTGCGTGCGGGTTCGGGATGCCGGGCCTCTGAGCAGCGCTGGCTGGGGATGGACGCCGCCCGGCCCCTTCCTCCCATTCTCTTCTTCCTTCTGCCGTGGGGGCCGGGGCCCTCCCCTGCTTCCTCTTTGGTTGCTTCCCAGCCGCGCCGGCTCCTGCGCTGCGCTGCGCGGTGCTGGGCCCCGGCGCGGGGCGCTGCGTCTGCAGGCAGCGACTCAGGGGCCGTGCTGAGGAGGAGGAGGAAGGGGGCACATCTGCACCCATGCTGCCAGCCAGACAGCAAGCTCATTTTTTCCAAGGCTGAAAACAGGTTGGCGTGGAGGGTTGTGAGGCCCCAGGGAAACACAAAGCATGTGCACTGCCCTTAATGATTGCCTTGCTCCGGGGGGCTGGCCTTCCAGTGACCCGTTGTTGGCCCAGTCCGGGGTTACTGGGGCAGGGAGACCTGCCAGGGCACCAGGCTGCCTTTTTGCAGTGACGAGCTGCGGTTCGGGTCCCGGTCCCCTGCGTGCTCTGGTGCTGCAGCAGCCATTGCAGCTGTTGGCCACGCTGCCGGGGCGTAGCTCTCCCTGGATCCCAGTTTGTCCCTTGAATGGGGCTGGCGTATGCATGGGGTGCTGGGTGACTGCGGGCACGGCGGGATATGGGGAGGTGGCTCTGAGCAAGCCGCCTTTCCCCAGCTGCCTCCCCGAGAGAGCTGGCGTCTAGCTACACTGCTTCTGTAAAGGAAACTTGGCTTGCGCACAAGTCCCGCCGCGCTCCTCCAGCAGCACAGGCTCCCAGATTCCCCAAGAAGGTCACGGGAGCTCCCGGGAGGGCACTGCCCGGGCAGGAGGCAGGTCCTTCTCCCGGGTTATATTTAGCAGCGGGGCTCTTCACCGCGTTGTATCCGAAGGAGCTGCATGTGCACGGCTTAGCTGCGTGGGGCGGGCCTGCCCTGGAGCATGCGTGTGTGCAGCAGGTGGCCGGCCAGGCCTTGGCGCTGAGCGAGCCGGGGAGGGGGCTGGGCGGCGCTGCGCTGCACTGCAGCAGCCGTCGCGTGCACGGTGGAAACCCTGCCTGTGGGCTCGGACCAGGAAGCTCGGTGCAGCACGACTTCCTGCCCGCCGGGCTGTCGGGGTTGGGTTCCGGCTGCTCTCGCTGCCGGCGGGGCTTTGATCTGGGGAGGGGGTAGGGGCCGCGGCGCCTTGGAGAGCTGGGAGGGTCCCTCCTTCCATGCTCTCCACCTTGGTCTCGTGCATCGACTTCTGCCCGGTTGAGATGTCCGGCCTTCCTGGATGCAGCGTGTCGGGATGGGCTGCCTGCGCAACGCGGTGGCTGCGGGCTCTGTGTGCGCATGCACGCGTGTCCCCCGTCCCCGCTGACGTGTGTCCTCTCCCCAGGTATGCTGGAGGACGGGAAGAAGTTCGACTCCTCTCGTGACAGGAACAAGCCATTCAAGTTCGTGATGGGCAAGCAGGAGGTGATCCGCGGCTGGGAAGAAGGGGTCGCCCAGGTGCGTGGCTCTGCCCCCCTCCCCGTGGATGCACAGCTTGGGGGAGAGACTGTTCTCGTGCTGTCCTCACCACCTCCGTGGTGGGAGTGGGGGAGGAAATGTCACCTGCTGCCTCGCCACCTGCCCGTGCGCCTCGGAGGGACGCCCACGGGCCGTGACTCAGCCGCGACGCTCGCTTTGAAGCCAGCGTCCCGGCGAGGGGCAGAGGCGGCTGACTCCCGTTCCCTCGCAGCGTGCAGCCCAGCCACCCTCGCTCGGCGAGGCAGGTGCTGGCTGGCATCTCCTGGCCAAACCCCAGCGTGGGTTGCTGGAGTCTGCGCTCAGACGCCCCTTGGATTTGGGAGGATAAGGAGGTTGCTCCACCCGGCCCCTTATTACTGCAGAGGGCCTGGTTTCCCCACGTGCACGTGCGTGTGTGTATGAGTGTGTAAGGTGAAGGGTGCCATGAGCCAGGGAGCATCTCTGAGGCCCCGCTGGGTGCTGCGCTGTGCTGGGCTCTTGCGGGCCGGGTGCTGATCTCTCCGAGAAAAGAGGCTTGCGGTCTCCGGTGCCCGCGCTGCATGGCTGGGGGGGGGCTGGGACCTGCACTGCGGTTCCTGTCCCCTCCCTGCCACGTGCCAGCGTCCTGCAGAGGTGAGGAGCCTGGCACCAGTTCACAGGGTCTGAAGTTGTCATATGGGAAGGTGGGCTGAGTCTTGGGGCTGCAGTGCCCTGGGTGGGAACATTCATGCATTGCTCCTTGCCAGGGTCCTGGGCACGCTGCTGCTGAGGGAGGAGGTGCCCGCTTGGGCTGAGGCAGAGGGACCTTGGCACGGGTCTGTTAGCTGGGCTACAGGGCGGCAGTCCCCAGTGCCACCCCTTTTCCCGAGTCCTTAGCAGGAAGAAGGTGGCATCTGGGTGCGTGGGAACACACCCATGTCTGCAGGGACAGCCTGGGACAAGGTGCAGCATGGCAGGGGTTGCACTAGGGAGCAGTTACTGCTAATTAACTAGCTGTTAATTATCCCTAATCGCACATACCTGACGCAGAAGTGGAGACTTGGAAAACCCCGCTGTGTGACCAGCTGGTCACTCCCAGGGACGGGCTGCCCTGCGTCTGGGGGGACAGCCGCTTCCTCCAGCATCTCCCGCAGCTCGGCCGTCTGTCGCGTCCCTGGCCGGCGCTGCGGTGGTTCCCTGTCTGATGTTTGCTTGCACTACTGTCGAGCTTTGTGGGCACGGGCCCTGCTGTGCTCAGCGTGGTGCCCAGAGCACCTGCCCCAGAGGGTGCGTGGGCTGAGCATGGCCTGGCGCAGCAGGGCAGGCTGTGCCAGCTGCGTGCTGCAGCATTGCCCCGAAGCCCGGCCCTGCACGCGGGCTCTGCACAGCGCCGGAGGCTTCTCCACAAGGCAGGTCCCAGCCGGCGGGCGCAGCCGGGCTCAGACTGTGGCGTGCCGTGTCCCCGCGCTGCCTCCGCCCAGCTGTGCTCTGTGTCTCCCGCAGATGAGCGTGGGCCAGCGAGCGAAGATGACCATCTCTCCGGACTACGCCTACGGCTCCACCGGCCACCCCGGCATCATCCCGCCCAACGCCACCCTAATCTTTGACGTGGAGCTTATGAAATTGGAATGACAGGAGGCGCCCAGCCCCCGCTCCCTGTCCTTGGGTAGGTGGGGGGGCTCTGGGGCAGGGTCCGGGAGGCGGGTGTCAGGTCCCGGGTGCGGGGCAATTGGGCTGAGACTTGAGATGCAAGGGGGGTGATGGCAACGATGCACCCTGCGGATCCGGCTGCAGCCAGCCCCTCGTGCTGAGCAGGTGGGGCGTCGCGTCGCGTCCCCCCGTAAGGGGCAGGCCGCTGGCACCCCCTTCCCAGCTGTCCGCAGGTGGCATCGGCTCAGCACCATCTTCCCCCCCCTCCTCCTTCTCTCCCAGGTTTGGCACATGGAGGAATCCAGAATCTCAGCTTCAAGAAGAATGCACATGACTTTGTACGGAGCTTTTCCTGATATTCCACTACACTCGTTGTATAACCCTGTACCTTGATTGAATGTGTTTGGTCACTCAGCTTTGCCTCTGACTCTTCCTCCTTGTATTGTGTTTTTGTCTTTTAAACTATACGCCGTAAACCTCAACTTTTAGGGGTTTTTCTTCTGGTTTTGGTTTTTTTTTGTTTTTTTCCCCCCCCCCCTTTTGGGCGAGCTCTTCATCTGGTTGTGTTGTGGGCTTTAGTGCGCCCTGGGGCGACCCGTGCTAGGGATCGTTGGAGCGAAGGAAATGTCGGGAGCTGGTTTTGTTCTGTTTTTTTTTTGGATGCAGATATCTGTTGTGTATGACAAAGAGATTGCCGCTGCCGTTGCAAAAGCCATAGCAGAGCGAGGAGCTGTCAAGGGCTGACTGACTCTGGGGAGCAAAGGGGTCCTTGGCTGGCGGTGTTACTTCCCTGCCTGGGACTGAGACACGGGAACAAGTAGCTTCCCGCTCCCTTCCCGGCAGGGTGGTGCCACCACGCCAGCACTTCCCCCTTGGCGGTGCCCAGAGCGGGCAGTATCCTGCCCCCTTTGCTGCCTGCTGCCTTTACCAGCATGTGGTTGTTTTCCTTCCCCCGCTTCCTCCTCCTGGATTTTGAGGGTCTCTTTTCCTTTCGCCATCCGTGCTCCACCACTACATAGGCTGCAGCATCGCAAGGGGCCTTTTGTACGTGGACGGAAGGGGCTGTTTCCTGGGGGGGCACCGATAGGAACGAGCCCGCGGCAGAAAGCTGGCGCCCCCGCCGTCGCCGGGATGACGAGACCCCAGCGCTCCCGCGCCAAACCTGATGCTGGTCATCACCGCATGCCGCGGCCTCCCGTTCGGTGCACGGCTCCACCTCCGCTGGCGTCACTTCGGCTCCCTTCCCTTCCCTCTGCCCCGCATCGTGATATGGTAAGAGGAATGGCTGCCATCGCTTCCTCCTCCACCGCCACATCAGAGTATTGAGTTTTATGATTGCAATAAAAGTGCTTTATGCTGGCTTTTCTCAACGCTGCCTCTCGCAGGTTTGTCACTCGCCTCTCTGCCGCCGTGCCCCTGGCGCGCTGCCCGGGGCTGCCGGTCTGGGCACCGGCTCTTGCGGCCTGCAGGCTTCTGGAGGGGGCGGCTTGCCTGGTCTCCCTTGGCAAGAGTCTGGATTCGTCCCAGTTGTGCTGGGAGACTGCCTGTCCCTCCAGCTGTCATTGCACTGCCCTAAACCTCTTAAAAAGCTCGTCTTTCAGAACGCCGTCTGCATCTCCTCCACCGCGGCAGCAGGTAACCAGCACCCGATGCCGGGGCAGAAACTTCCCCCGGCCACGCTGCTTGCTTTGGGAGAGCTGGGCAAAGGAGCGAGGCTCTCCCCAGCTCTGCCTGCATCCTCCGTGCTGTCTCCCCGCGTGGGTCAGCAGGGCCGCAGGGGGACCAGGGAGCTTGTCACTGGCACAGATATTTTTCATGCGTGTGGAGCTGGGCTGGGGCCTGGGTTTGCTCTGCGAGGGGAGCTGATCCCGGGCTGACTTGCCCGTGCAGGAGGGCGGCTGAGGTTACGTCTGGGCTTGGGGGAACAAGCTGGTCGGCCCCCGTCTCCTCCTGCCAAGGGATGTGCAGCGATGGGGAGCCTGCTGCTGGCCTGTGGGGCAGTGCATGTGCCCAGCTCTCGTGCTTCCCCCCACACCACCTGCCATGGCTTCGATGCCCACAAGACCGGCTCGCATCCGAGGGGCTTTTTGTTCCGGCTTTAAAATGCCGCGTGAGTCATCGCTCGCCGCCCGCGGCTCCCCCAGCCCTCGCTAGGTACGGGTGTGGGTGGCACCGCGGCGAGCGCCTGTCAGGTTTACTCCCGGCCACTGCTGCATGTGTGGGAGCGGAGGGGACAGGCGGGGGGGGGCGTTTGCTCCCGAAAAGATCCCACCTTCGGCCAGTGGCAGTCGGCCGCAGCACCTGTGCTGTGCCTTGGGTGGGAGCAGCATTGCAGGTGCCTGGGGTCGGCTCCTACCCCCTGCCCACATGGAAGCGCTGCCTTTGAGCGCTTTGCCACGAAGTCTCTGTGCTGCTGCCCTTGCCCCTGGCACCCCGCTCTGCTTCTGGCTCAGGATCCCAGACGGCGCTGCGGAGGCGGCCGGGCAGGGTCTGCGTGCACAGCGTCGGGTGTGACGATTGCTAAGGTGCCCTCTGCTTTGGCAACGCCATCAACAGGGAAATACCGAGCGCTCGGGCAATGACTGGCGGGGCTGCAGGCCGCATTCTGCACAGGTGAGCTCACCTGGATGCCTGCACCAGGGGCGGGCTCATCGACAGCTCCCTCAGCCAATGAGACCGGGGGGAGGTGTTGCACCCTGGGTGGCACTGGCATGCAGAGATCCTCAGGTGGGTGCCTGCCACCGGGCAACTCCTCCCAGGTGCTTTCCCCCCCCAGGACCCACCTCCTGCCCCGGCCAGGGGTGCCCCAGAGACGCAGCCAGGCTGCCCCAGGCAGCAGGCGAGGGCCGTCCCTCCCGCCTCCTGCGTCGTCTCTCTCGGCCTCCGCCGCAGAGTTTTGCAATCGGAGCAACCGGTTTCTCCGCTCCCAGCTCCGGGGCAGAGGTGGGGCTGCTGGGAGTTTCGGGAGGGGGAGACGGGTCTGGACTGCGCCCGGCTCCGCGCGGAGCGGTTGAGGATACTGGGCACCGGTGCACGATGCTCCGGGATGGGGTTAACCCTGTTGGGGGAGCATCCGCACCGGGGTCTCGCCCGGGGGCCCTTGCTGCAGCTGGACCCCGGGTGCCTTCTGTGCGCGGTGCCATGGGCCTTGCCTGCCGCAGAGGGCAAAGGTCGCTCGGTTGCCAGTTTCGGGAGCTCTGCTTCCTCTTCCTCCTCCTGCCTTATTGCCCGCACTCCCGTCCTGCCCTGGCGTCGCAGCGGGCACGGCCGGGGGCCGGTGACGGGCGTGGAGGGGCCTGAGCAGCGCCGCACGACGGGGCTTCGTGCACCTGCTCGTACCCGTGCCCTGGCTGCAGCGTTGCTCAGTGGTTAGAGCATCCACCAAAGCGTCAGGGATGCAGGGCCCGGCTCGCTGCTGACTCAGGCGTCCCTGAGTCACCGTCCCCGCGGCTCTGACGTGGGCGTGCTTCCCACGCCGCGCGCGTGTCGCATGCGTGGAGGAGGGCGGTGCCATGGCAACGGCAAGCATCACAGCTGAGCCGCCGGGACGGCACGTCCCCGCCGAGGGGAGCGTGACATCACTGCGCGCTGGGCGCAGAAGCGCCCGCCGGCCGTGGCAGGAGCCTGTCGAGCGCCGGGGCTGGCGGGGGCTCGTGCTTTCCTTTGCAGCCAGCTCGGGCGCCGGCGGGGGGAGAAGGGCAGCAGGACACGGCTGCAGCACTGGAGACCTGGCAGGGGGCTGCAGGGAGCAGCAACAGCCCTTGCAAATAGATCCTCTGGATCAGACCCGCTCCGTCCCCCCAAGCAGAGCGCCTGGTGCACCCCTGGCTCGGGGCATGTCCTAGGCCCCCTCGCCAGGCCGCGCTCCCTCTGTCATAGATTCATAGATGTTCGGGTCGGAAGGGACCTCAATAGATCGTCGAGTCTGACCCCCTGCACAGGCAGGGAAGAGTGCTGGGTCTAGATGACCCCAGCCAGATGCCTATCTAACCTCCTCTTGAAGACCCCCAGGGTCGGGGAGAGCACCACCTCCCTTGGGAGCCCGTTCCAGACCCTGGCCATTCGAACTGGGAAGAAGTTAGAAGTCACCCGTCACCTGTCACCTGCTTGCCTCCTGCATTCCTGGCCGGTGACTGCCAGTCAGCTGATGGAGACGGGCCCCTCCCAGGCTGCCAGCCCTGCTGGTATAAAGCCAGCGGGCCTTGACCCGGGCTGGCAGAGTGTGCCGGGGAAGGGCAGCCTGTTTGCAAGGTGAGCAGCGTGCTTGGGGGTTGCTGTTTGCAGCCCGGGCACAAGGAGCGTTTCACCCTTGGGTGGGCGCTGCGGGGTGGGGGTGCTGAGCAGTGCCGGGAGCTGGGCTTGCTGTGCCTTGCTCCGCGCCTCGCCTGAAACCACAGCCCGCGACGGGGAGGCTGGGGCTTGTTTTGCTCCGACTAGTGCCGGCTGACATCAGGCTGGGCCTTGGACGGCCCCGGGCCGCAGGGGAGGCTCTGGGGAAGGGCGAACCCACGGACGAAGGCTCGTCCCGTGCCTGGCTTTCTGTTTTGTGGGCTCTGGAGGTGCCAAAAGCCAAGCTCCCCCCCAGCATCCTTGTGCCCTTGGGGCAGGGGGCTGCACAGAGGCTGGAGCTGGGCTGTGCTCGGTGGGGGCAGATACAGGACAAGGAGCAATGGGCTCACGTTGCAGCAAGAGAAGTTGAGGTTGGATATTAGGAGAAACTCTCATGAGGAGGGTCACTGGAGGGGTTACCCAGAGAGGAGGTGGAGTCTCCATCCTGGGAGGTGTTTAAGACCTGGCTAGACAAAGCCCTGGCTGGGATGATGGAGTTGGGGCTGGTCCTGCTTGGAGCGGGGGTTGGACTAGATGTGACCCCCGAGGTCCCTGCTGACCCCTGTCCATGAGTCTGCGATCGGTCGTGGCCTGCGCCTGCATACGGCGGTGGAGCCTGGCCCAGGTGCCCCAGACGGACCCGAGGGGAGGAGGCATCTCCCCTCCGCAGCCCGGGTGGCTTTGCCTGCAGGGTCAGGTCCGCAGCTCCCCAGGCCGAGCTCAGCACCCTGCCCCGGCTGCTGGAGTAGCCAAGGGCTCAGCCCCCGGCCCGCGGCGCTGCCACGTCTCTGAGCCAGCCCGAGGGCTTTGTTGTCCGACCGGGACGTGCCATGCCACCGCGCTGTGAACGGGGCAGCGTCCCGGCGTGTCCCCCTGTCACACCGTGGTTTGAGTGAGGGTGTCACCTGGGACGCTCCGCTTCCTGCTCTGCCACAGGGGCCCTGTGGGGCCCTGGTCATGTCACTTAGCTGCTCTCAAGTTCCCAGCTGTAACTGCCCCACTTTGCTGCCCTAGGGAGATGTTGCCAGCCACGCTGGGCTCGGACCTCGTGGCCTTCAAGGGAGCCACTGCCAAGCACCCAAGGTAGCTGGGCCTGGCTGCAACCTCCCCACCCGCTCCACAGGATGAATCTCCAAGCACGTGGCCTGTCTGCAGCTCGGTGCTGGCACGGTCACTCCGCCTAGCGGGTGCAAAGCCTGCGGGTGTGGGGTCTGCAGTCCCTGCAACGTGGGCGCATGGGGAGATCTGTGCCTAGAGAGTGCACCGTGGTGGGGGCTGAGCGTGGTGCACGCCGTGGGCCTGCCGCGTGGCGGGTGCAGGGCAGGGGAGGGGGCTGCCTGGCTGCGCGGGGTCCAGGCTCCCTCCCCGGCGTGCGGATCCTGGTGCCCAGAGGTTACAGACACTCGGGCTTGAGCGGGTGCTTTCCCGGCCCAGGAGCCCCACAGCTGCGGGGAGCAGGCCCGGCACCTGGGCTTAGCCGGTGACGGGGGCACAGAGGCTGGCATTCATGGAGCACTGCTCCCAGCCAGTGCCAGGGGTGGGGCACGGGTCGTGGCCCCGGGGCTGGGTGCCAGCCCGGCTCAGGGAACAATGCACTGCCCGTGGCATCGGCCAAGGCTGCGGGGCACGGCCGGGGGGCCTGTCCTGGGTAGGAGCCTGTGCCGGGACTAGAGGCACCCTGCAGCGCCACGCCGGGCTGAGTCACGCTGCGCCAAGCCACGGGCGTGCACGGCATCACCGGCACCCAGCACCTGCGGAGCGGCGTGTGGGGAGCGTGTGTGCGCATGTGTGAGAGCAAGAGCTAGGTGCACGTCTGAGAGAGATCTGTGGGTGCTGTGAGAGACGTGTGTCAGTGCGCGAGATGAGACGTGTGTGCGCATGCATGTGAGAACGATGGGTGTGTGTGTGAGAGGCGTGTGTGAGGGAGAGAGCTGTGTTGTGTGAGACGTGTGGGACAGAGATGTATGTGAGAGACGTGCATGTGTGTGTGACAGATATGAGAGGTGTGCAAGAGAGTGGTGTGTATGAGAGACGTGTGTGTGTGTGTGATGGCTGGGTGTGAGGAGGCAGAGCCGCAGAGTGGCTAACCCCATGGCACGCAGGCTCCGTGCTCGGGCGTGTAAAACAGCCTCTGTGGGGCGTGCCAGCCCCCCCCCCCGGGGGCTTGGTGCCCAATGCCCACCCCCCAGCAGAGCCCAGCCCCCTCCCACGCACCCCTGGAAAGCCGCTGTGGCTGGAATACATGCGTGTGCGCACACCAGCCCCAGGTCCAGACGTGTGCAGACCCCCACCCCTTCCACCCAGATGCACACCTGCAGGCGTGCATGCACACAGACGTGTCTGCCCGCCACCCCCACCCCCAGCTCGGGAGCAGGACCCTCACGTCTCCCTGCCGTCCCCCTTTGCAGGAGGCAGCCATGGCCACGCTGTACCCCTCGCTGGAGGACATGAAGGTGGATCAGACCTTGCAGGTAGGCGCCTCGTGCCCAGGGAGGGCTGGTGGGGCCGTGCGGGGCCCCTGCCTGTTTGCAGCCAGCGGCAGATGGGCTCCCCCACCCCGAGGGCTGGCTGTCCCCTCCGGCCACCCCGGAAGTTGCCAACCCTGCTTCTCTCTGCACAGAGTCAGGCGAACGCAGCTGCCAGGGCTCCAGCGCCCGCTGCAGAGGAAGCGGCGCTGCCCAACATCACCGGTAAGTCAGAGCTGGACCCGGCTGGTCCGTGGGCCCCGGGAGGTGCCATCCCAGGCTGGGAACTTGTATTTGCTCCTGTCTGGTGAGGGGGATCGCTTTGCCCTGGGGGAGCAAGGGGTTAATCACATCTGGGTGCCTGGGGGTGGGCTGGGCACTGGCAGCTGGTGCCAGGAGTCCTGGGCAGGGGGCTCAGTGCTCCCACATTAGGGGCTGGGGAGTGGCTGCTACCCCTGCTAAGGGGCGTTACATGCTGGATGTGGCCATGCAGCCCCCCCCGGGATGCCCGGTCCAGCTCTGTGTGACCCACCTCTGCCCCGCACAGACCCCGCGCCGGTGCTGTACCCCAACCTGGCAGAGCTGGGCACCTACATGGGCCTCTCCCTCGACAGTGAGGAGGTGCAGAAGAACCTGGAGCTGGTGCCAGCCAGCAGCGTGAGTAGGCGCCTGCTGAAAGCGGGCATCCGTGTGCCTATCCGTCTGTCAGTCATGGCTCACACCCCGGACCCTGCCCACAGGCTGTTGCATTGCTGACACAGCCACCGTGGCCCTGTGCCCGCAGGGATAGCAGGCTCTCCAGTGCAATGCCACCCTTCACCCCTTCGTTCCTAGCCCCGAGCCCATGCACGGTCCCGGTGGGAAGGAGCTGAGCCTCTGCACCGAATCGTAGCCTCCTGGGCTGATGCACGGCCAGGGCGGCTCGCTCCAGAGCACCCTGCCTGCCCCAAGGACTGGAACAGGCAGGGGCTGGCTACCACCCCTGGCTGCGTGCCACCCTGGCTCACGGCCCTTTCTTCCGCAGGCGGTGGCACCAGTCCCTTCCGCCCACGGGCAGGTGGTGGCACCACTGAGCGGTTGCAACCCGGGCATGCGCCGGGCGGAGATCAAGCCGGGCATGCGGGAGATCCACCTGTGCAAGGATGAGCATGGCAAGACTGGGCTGCAACTGACAGGTGGGTGCAGGCAGACGGCTGGGTTGCCGGGACCTGGGCGCGGAGCTCGGGGTCCAAGGCTGCTGCTGACACCTTTGCACCTGCCCCGTGGGCCTCTGCCTCAGTTTCCCCACTGCACAGCTTGGCTTCCTTCAGTGGAAGGAACCTAGCAAGCATCCCTATGCATCTGCTGGAGCAGGCTCTGGTGTGCGGCTGGCTCTGGGGTGGAGCACCGAGCCGCTGAGAGGCTGGCATAGGGCCCACTGCTCAGCCAGCAAGTCGGGGTCTGGCTGCTGGGGGTACGAGGGGGCTGGGACCCAGTGCCATCGTCTCCTCCTCCCCAGGGTGTGTTCGTGCAGCTGGTGAAGGCCAACTCGCCGGCGTCACTGGTGGGGCTGCGCTTCGGGGACCAGGTGCTGCAGATCGAGGGCAAGGACTGTGCCGGCTGGAGCAGCGACAAGGCGCGCCGGGCCCTCAAGAAGGCCTCGCCCGAGAAGATCGTCATGATCGTGCGGGACAGGTGAGCGGGCTTGTGCCCCGGGGTGGAGCGGGGGTCGGGGGTCCTGCCCAACCTGCCCCGTGGGGGTGACATGGCCTCTGCCTGCCCCTCAGGCCCTTCCAGCGCACGGTGACGATGCACAAGGACAGCGCGGGGCACGTCGGCTTCGTGGTCAAAAAGGGGAAGATCGTCTCGCTGGTCAAGGGCAGCTCGGCCACCCGCAATGGGCTCCTCACCAACCACTACCTCTGCGAGGTCAACGGCCAGAACGTCATCGGGCTCAAGGTAAGGCCTCTTGGGCCCCCGTCCATCCGCGCCATGCTCTGGGGGCAGGATGCTTCCAGTTAGGCTCCTTGCAGTTAGCTCTTGGAAAAGCCCCCGGGCAAGTGGCTCCCCATCCCGCCTGGCCCCGGCACCAGGCAGCTGGTATCTGGTGCATTGCAGCGAGCCCAGGGTCTGGTGAGACTGTCCCCCCACGCTCCCCACTGCATGTCAGGGGGGTTTTAAGCCTTCCTCAGAGGCGCTGGTGCTGCTGCAGCCCAGGCTGGGCCTGGGGCCTGGGCTGTGCCAGTGCTCCTCTGGCACCAACCCCGCAGGGTCCTGGCTGGAGGGTCTTGGCTCAGACCGATGCTGCATTGGGGGCAGGAGGGGATTTTACCCCGTGGTCACATTGGTACGGACTGGGGGAGTTTTGCCTTCCTCTGCAACGGGGCCACTGACAAAGGGACGTGCGTTTGAATCCTTGCCAGGCAAGGGAGCCCGGAGACTTGGATGCCGGGCGCCTTGTGCTCTAGCTCCTGCCTGGTTCAGGCTAAAACCTAGGAGGGGCGTCCTCCCTGCCCCAGCACCAAACCCCCTAGTTGCAGGGCTCTGGCTGACTGATTTTGGGGTGCAGACACGCACAGGCGTCCAGGTTGGGCATGCAGCTGCCCGGTCTGCGTGCAGCTTCCTGTGCAGGGAAGCGGTGCAGGGGTAAGAGCATCACAGGGTAAGCGCCAGCCACGGAGGTGCCCCAAGGGGAAGGGTCTGTGACAGCTCCCCGGTCTCCCTCGCTGCAGGACAAGCAGATCACGGACATCCTGGGGACGGCCGGGAACGTCATCACCCTCACCATCATCCCCACGGTGATCTACGAACACATGGTCAAACGGTGAGGACCCCCACCCCCCGGGCTCTGCTGGAGGGCAGCGTGGATGCCGCAGGACATGCTGCTGCATCCCGTAGTGCCCGCGGGCATTTCACCCTCTGCACCCTGCAAGATACAGCAGGGAGCTGCTTGGGGCTGGGACCGAGCCGTGGGGGCTCAGCATGGGGCCACGAATGAAGGGAGAGGCTGTGTCAGGTCTTCTGCCCCCACCCCAACCCAACCCCTGCGCGCACGGCGCCCCTGCCCAGGGGGTGCTAACCTGCATTCCTCCATTGCACTAGGCTGTCGCCTGGAAAGGTGAAGTCCTCCATGGATCGCTCCATTCCCGACCTGTAAAGCCAGGTGCCCTGCTCCGGCGCAAAGACGGACGGCTTGCTTCACCTGGAGACTCGCCGCCCCTCGGCCTGGGCAGGGGAGCGGGGGGAAGGCTGGCGGCCGCCCCGGGGGAGGCTCACAGCGCTCCAGGGAAGGCAAGGCCCTCGGGACCCTGCTGAAAGAGAGACCCCAACGATTTGGGTAGAAACCCAGCCCAGCCTGCCGGCACCCACACTGCTGCTGCGTCCACGCTCCAGGGCAGGGGAGAGCAGGTGCAGATCTCTCCGGCTAGGGGACAGGGCTCGGGGCGGCTCTAGGGTGCGGGGCCCCGGCGCCAAGCATTGCACGGACGCCACACGCACGAAGCTTGAGGCCAAACTGGGGACCCGACTCAGGCTGGAAGAAGCCCCTGAGGGGTGCCAGGGGGCCTTTACCTACGGTCAGGGCCGCTGCATCCCATCCCATGCTGCCTTCTTGGTCCCTTCGCCTGGGCAGCGGTCATCACCTCGTGCGGTGCAGCATCGAGAAGGCAAAGAAGACCTGAACATCCAGCCCCCCAGGCCCAGAGCCCCCCACTTCCCCCCCGGCCCCTGCTGTTCCCCAGCCCCAACCCCAACCCAGCACCGGGTCCATCCCTGCCCGATCCCTTTGTTCGCCCCGTCTGCGCTGCGAACGGGGCTGGGGCTCCACCCCGCGCCCAAGGCTGCTGCCCCGCCGGCCGGGAGAGCGCCCCGGGGAGACGGCCCCCAGCCCCGAGGGAAAGCAGACACGGCAGAGACCCACTGACGTTTATTGCAGCCACCGACAGACAGAGATTACAGGACGATGGAAACGAGAGGAGCGGTTACAGCTTGGAACGTCTGTATTTAAAAAATATAAGATCTCGATCTCTCTCTTTCAAACAGAACCGGACATTGGTTTCCTTGGCCAAGCTTTGGGGAGTCTAACAGACACGCACACGGACCCACGAGTACATTGCACAAGAGGCTCAGCTCACCCCCTTCTCCCCCAAATACTTTATATTACAACACCGAGCCCGAGGTGCCCGGGTCTGCTCTCGCCCCGGTCTGAGTGCCTGCAGCTGTGGGGGCTCGGGACCCTGGAGCAGGGTGTGAGCGAGGGGCGCGTGTGCGAGCCCACCCGCGGGGACATGCAGCAGCTGCCCAGCCCGGGAGCTGGGGCAGCAGCCAGGGGGTGGCAGGGCTACTGGAGACCTCAGCAGAGGGGTCTGCCCTGGGCCGCGTACCCGTGCACTGGTCCCCAGCCGGCTGGCTCCAAGCCTGCACAGAGCACTGCCTTCCCCCCAGGGGGGTGGGCGACGGGGAGGGGAAACACCATCAGTTCAAGTCACTGCAAAAAGAGAAGGGCCCACTCAGCGCGGTGCCTGTGACTCTGTGGGTAGGGCTGCCCGAGGGGCAGCAAGGTGGGTGGGGGCTGCAGCCTGCGTGGGTCCCCAGTTCTGGTCTGAGTGGTTAAAAGGCATCTCAGAGGGCTTTCCTGCCACGCCAGCTGGTGCTGAGCTGGGCAAAGTGCCCCCCCAGTGCACGCACTGACCCCCCGCCCCTGCCAGCAGCACCGTGCCGGCCCGTCGCAGGGCTGGGCAGTGAGCAGCAATGCAGAGAGCTCGAGGTTTTGCAAAGAAAGTGACCGTAGTGCAAAGCAAAGAATGAGCAACACTGAACTTGAGGACAGCTCGCTGCGGGCAGCCCAGGGGGTGCTGCCCAGAGATGGCTCCGGCTGGGGCTCCAGCTCTGGCTGGGGCTCACGTGAGGTATATCCGGGGTCCCTCGCAGCCGTGGCTGGGTGAGCCCCGTGGGGGCAGAGCAGCAAGGATGAGCAATGCCGAGCAGAGGCGCTCCCCGGGTTGCCAAGTGCCGTGCGCCCCTTGGGAGGGAGGGTTGTGCGTCTTGCACTTGCCCCCACCCTGCTCAGGTAGGCGGGGAGCTGCCTGCTGTGTCTGCCCCAGCATCTGCCCCCTCCCGGGTCTCTGGCAGTCCAGTGCCAGTCCTAAAATGCTACTGGAGAGCTACAGCCACCACACGCAGGTGCAGGAGAGGGCCAGGGCCCTGCAAAAACAAGTCCAAATGCAACACAAGTCCCCTTGGCCAGCTGGCAGGAACCCTCAACTGTCCAGAAGCAGCAAGGGCAAAGGGCTGCGCAGGGTCTACCAGTCCGGAGAGGGGTCTGGGATGTCCTCCCCGCTCCACAAAGCCTGTGGCCAGCCATGGCAGGCAGTCCATGCCCTGCTGGCTGGGCATACGGGTCTGTGCCCCCCCAGGACCCCTTCCCGCCATTGCATAAATAGTTGCAGCGGCTCCGAGCGGGCCAAGGTCCCCTGTCCTGCGAGCGACGTGAAGGAAGGTTCGGCGTGGATGAGATGTACAATCAGTGGTCTGGTGGGCACGAGGCGGGCCACGGAGCGGGCGCGAGGCAGGCAGGCGGGATGGGGGCACGGCTAGGGCTGGGCACCGGCCCCCGGGGTGCTGACGGAGCGGCAGCTGATCTTGCGGATGGAGTGCAAGGCGACGGTGCAGCGCCCCCCGGGGGCCCTGCGGGCCCCCCCACGGCCAGCAGGTCCACGATGAAGTGGCGGCTCCAGTAGCTCTTGGGGACCGCAGCCTCCGCGCCGGGTTCGGGGGTCTCCTCCTCCGCGGCGCACAGGATGGTCACAGCCGGACCGGCGGTATGGTGCACGGCGGGGTTGCCACTAGTCGGGCCAGGGCCCGTTTTCCCCTCCGGCATCTCCGCCCCCGCCTCCGCGGTCACCACCATGGTCGGGTTGGGGTCCGTGGGCATCAAGTCCATGGTGCCAGCATTGCTCTGGGCCTGAGTCTCTGTGCCGGGCACCGCATCGTCCATCTCTGACACCCAGACGGAGGTGGGGCTGCCCAGGCTGCAGGCCTGGGACTTCATGACCTTCTCCAGGATGGTGTCCAAGTCGGGCTGGTAGTGCATGAAGTCCGTCTGGATGGCCCGCTCCTGGAGGCAGCTGGCTTGCACGCCGGCCTCCACCGCGGTGGGTGTGCCCAGCAGCTTCTCGTAGGTGGAGCTGGTGGGCAGGCGGGAGCCCAGCGTGAAGGAGCCCTGCAGGGAAGCCTCCTCCGTGCCGCACTCCACCCCGGACGACAGCAGGCTGCTGGGCTCCAGCAAGTCCGTGCGGCTCAGGGAGTCCTCGGCCACCACGAAGCCGCTGTCGCCCACCTCCTCCACCGAGATGGTCTGCGAGCCCCCCACGTTCTTGTCGCCGGCCGCCTGGTCGCTGAGCTTGGTGTAGGTGGAGCTGCGGGTGAGGGAGCGGGCCGGCGAGCCCCCCGCCGACTCCCCGGCCCCGTCCTCCTTGAGCGTGCCGTTCTGCGCGACCTCCATGCTGTGCAGCAGCGTCTCCAGCTTCTTGTTCTGGATGTTGATGTCCACGAAGTACTTCTGCAGCCCCTTGTCCTTCTCCAGCAGGTTGTTTTTCACCGTGTCGATCACCTGCTTCAGCTGCTTGATCTCCTTGCGGGCTTCCTTGAGCGCCAGCTGGGCCTCCACGCGGTGGCACTCCTCCTCGATCCAGTCCTCCTGCATCCGCGACAGCTGCGTCTTCAGGTCCTCGATCTCCGCATCCCTGCGCCAGACACACAGAGACCCGCCGGCTGTCACCGATGGCAGCATCGATGCCAGCCCGTGCCCGGAGGAAGGGTCTCTCCAAGGGCAACTCTAAACCCTCCTTGGCACCAGCTCCATCCCCTCCATGAGGGCTGTGGCATGGCGGGGAGAGAGGAGAAGTGGCAGGGATGCCCACTAAGGGGTCAGATGGGCTTTGACCTTCGGCCTGAGGCTCTGGCCCAGGTCTCCCGGGGTCAGAGCAGCGGTAAGCCCCGCAGTGGGAAGACCATGGAAGCTCCTGCAGCCTGCAGGGATGCTTTGGAAGAAAGGAGGGGAGACAGACACATATTTTGGACATGCCTGCCTCTTCCAGCCAGAACATGGGCACCAGATAACAAAACCCTTGGGCTCCAGGTTCATGCCCCAGGTGCCTTCCCTAGCACCCATGGAGAGGCATCCAGCATCTCTCCACTGCATGGCCTGAGTCCGGCCGCTGAGGCCTGGTCCCAGGTGGCCGCATGCCCGGGTGGGGTCTGTGCTGAGGTCCGGATCAGCCCTGCTCCTCGCCCCCGTGCTGGGACCCGCTCGCTCCCCGCCCCAGCGCTCGCCTGTCCTGCAGCCTGTCCTGGGTGTCCTTCAGCCGCGCCTTCAGGTGCCGGATGCAGACTTCCTTCTGCTGCAGCGGGGTCAGGTACTGCTCGGGTGTCGGGGGCTTGATCCCATGGTTATCGCTGCACAGCGTGTACTTGACTGGACGCCTGCAAAGACAAGGCGGTCAGCAGGCCCAGAGAGCGGAGCAGCCCATGTTGCTCCTGCCAGAGACCTGCCTGGTTCTCAGCCCCCTCCGGGGTCAGACGCGCCCTGGCAGCTCGGCCCCTCATGCCGAGACCGTCTCGGATCGACTGCAGCCCCGTGGCCATCAGGTGCAGACAGGGATCAGCCCCAGCCGGCTGCAGTCAGTGAGAGCACAGACCCGGGGCTGGGTGCATGGCAGGATTGAAGCACCTGGGAAAAGCCAGGTGCTGGCTGGAAAGCCCGAGCCCTGGGGTCCGGGACGGTGGCAGCCTGGATGCTTTGTGGTAGGCAGCAAGGGTGAAGGGGCTGCCCCTGGCTTGGAGCCTGGGAGGACAGGGCACGGGCTGCAGGCAAGGTCATTGCCACAGCCATGTGAGGACCTTGGCTGGGTCACGGGTCCATCACTGCAGCAAGCAGCAGATGCACTCAGACACGGACAGCTGGACGCATGCCCGGGCAGAGCCCCCTGTTTCATAGGTGTTAGGGGCTGGAAGGGACCTTACAGATCATGCCCGTGGAGCGACCGAAAAACCAGACTCCAGACACAGCCCTTGACCCCCCTGCACGCAGGGGAGAAGCCGGCCAGGCTGTTCCCACAGTGCGCTCATCCTGAAGGAGCTGGAAGGGTTTCACGGGGGGAAGCACAGCACACGGCACAACGAGGGGAGCGGTGGAGACAAAGGAACCAGGGCTTAGGGGCTGTGGGGGGGGAAGGATGGGGATGGACACCAAAAGGCAACACCTTTCCCTCCCCAGCACCAGCAGATCTCATCATCCCGGGTCTCCGAGCAGGCCCAAAGGTGCAGCCTGGCTGGCTGGCTCATGCCTGCCTCCTACCACAGCAGCATGGGGCAACCCTGCCAGGATCAGGACCCGCAGGGGAAGGGGCTCTGGCTTACCGCTCCCACTGGGGACCGCTGTCCCCTGCCAGCAAAGCCAGTGCCCTGCACGGGGCAGCTGAGACTGGCAAGGCAGCACTGGGGACAGGCAATATCCAGCAAGATCCCACTTGCCTCGTGGACACACCGTGGGTTGCAAACCGGCCTCTCCTGCATGTGCTGGCACACGTGTGTGCGTTCCTTGCTGCGGAGCGAATTTGTCCCGAGGTAAAATCCGGGGCAAACAGCTCCGCAGCAATGGGGTGGTGCCCGGTTACCTGGGGGTGGGGCTGCTGTCGCTGCCCTTGCAAGAGCCCGAGTTGCTGCTGCTGCTCAGTGAGGAGGTGCCGTAGGTGTCCCGCATGCTCACGGGCGGGGAGGGGCGCCTGGAGGCAGGAAGAAGAGGCT